GCGAAATCGCACAGCCATTGTCCCCTCCCCCCCTCACCCCCCGCGTGCAGCCGCAACCAATTCCCAACCCCTCTCTTATCCACCCGTTACCAGCCATCCTAACCGGCCGTATATCTTTCCACCGTACGCCCTCGAAAGCGGCCGCCTTTGTTTCAGATATTTATGAGGCGTTTTAATTCGCGCGCCGCGCCACGCTGCGTCAACCCGGCGTCGGCCAACGTCGCCGTCGCTCGACTGTGTTCGTCGATGCTCGGCCGCGCTCGCGACCGACCAAACGACTAGCGCGGCAAGGGGGTGGGCCGCGTTAAACCGCTACCACCGGGGGATGAGGAGGCATAATAGGCATAAGGGTGCTCCGATAAAGCGGCAACCGAGTCTCTCTCTCTCTCTTTCTCTCTCTCTCTCTTCCCTTCGCGCAACCCCTCGTGCCCACCCTATTTTCCAGACGCAGGCCATAAGCGCGAACAAACTCTCGCTCGTATATCTCGGTTGAATGGTTTGCGACGCGGCGGCTTCTCGGCGCGTATCGCCGCGGCTATCTCTCTCTTTCTCTCTCTTTCTCTTTCCCTTTATCACATTTCTCGTTTCTCCGGGAATAACTAACGAGCCTCTCGAACCGAATCGAAACGCGTTCCACGAATTCCGAAGACGTTCTGCTCGTGTCTGTTCGTTAATTTTGAATCGATAAGAGAGAGAGAGAGAGAGAGAGAGAGAGAGAGGGGATTCGTATTATTTTTTTTCTCCACCTTTGCTTCTTGCGTGGCGACATTCTAGAGAAACGGTGGCGAACTCGCAGCTACTCCTCTTTACGTCGGTAGTCTGTTGCCGAGTTTAACGGCGACAGTACGTCACCCTGTCAGCTCCCCCCCCCTTCCTTCTCGCACACGCTTTCCGTCTCACGCTTTCCCGTTTCTGTGGAACCAGGGATCTCCGATGTTCTCCTCTTTCGTTCAACCTTACTCTCCTCTCTCTTCATTCCACTGTCGCGCCTTTCTTTCTCATTCCCGTTGCCCCCTCGCTCCGTCGCCGTCCTCGTCGCGCTTTTCTTAACAGCCTTCACTCTCTAAAAGCCCGAGCGGTGATCTATGGCAGGACGTTGCGTCACACGGGGAACAGATGCAGCGCTCGTATATTACTCGGCCATATCTAGCGGGAAAACGGAGAGAAAGAGAGGAGAGAAAGGCGTTTCGAACAGGGGGTGCCGCGGAGACGCGTCGAGTACACGTACTATGGCTCGAGGAACATCGGCGAACGCCGCCTATCGAACGCGATTAATAATTCAACAACTCGATCCGCAACAAGCGTCTTCTCCCTTTTTTTCCTTTTTTTTTTTTACTTTTTTCTTTAGTCAAGCTTCTTCTTCCTTTTCTTTTTTCCTTTCTTTTTTTTCTTTGAATTTTATTTTTCTAACAATCGCCACAGTCCACGAGCGACCTTTCCACAAGGACACAACCTTGCAACTGGAAAGCACGGATAATTATCGTGTACGAAAGAAAGAAAGAAAGAATTACAAAGAAAGAAGGAAGGAAAAATTGATTCGTGAAAATGCTACGACAAGGTGGAGAAGAATGGGACCGCGTGGGGAGTAGGAAACGCGCGTTCGTGAAAATGCTAGCCAGCTGTCTGCGCGTGCAGGCAGGAGGGCGAGAGCGGAACGGGGAGAAAGAGAGTTTGGGGGCTGGGGGAGGGAGGCTCGAAAACGCGCGTCGGCAGGGTAGACACTTGGAGAATCCCATAAATCAGGTCAGGGTTGGCGACGGGGGTGGCTGCGCGGCGGTAGTTACAGAGGGTGGCCAAACGGAGGCGGTGAGGAGCTAAGGGAGCTCGGCTACGACTACGAGAGAGCCGTTAAGTAAAGGTCGACGCACAACAAACCCACGCCGAGGATACGGTGCAGCGATACGACGGCGCATGCTCGTAAAACGTTTGGCGCCAATTCCATTCGACCAGGCCGGATCGCACACTGCGTGTTCCGGAGGAACGAGCGACTTGATTTTGAACAGTAGCGCTATCGACGAGCTGTAAAATTTATATCGATGAAATTACGGACGAATGGGAACAGTTTTTTGTTTTTTTTAATACGTACTTGCGTAAAATACAGTCTGATGAGAATTTTTGACTGAAGAAATTGCGAATCGTTCGTTTCGTCAGGGATGAGTTTCATTACACGTTTGAAGGAGTCAAATGGTACTTGCAATGAGGTACATTTTACGTGACAAGGAGTTTCGACGATTTTGAGAATAATCAGGAATGACACGATACGATATCTAGTGATACAAGTCACTTTTCAAGTGAACATTTTTCGGAAACAGTTGATTAGCTGTGAAATTAAATGTTGAAACATGTAATTAAATTCGAACATCATCGAATATTATTCATAGAGGTTTCTCGTCGTCTGTTCAAA